AAGTTACATAAGGCCTTATCCCTGTTTCTTGAAATGCTGGGCACATGAAGAGTCATGGAGTAAGGGTCCCTGTGGACAAAGAGAACAGAAACAGCAAGCATCCACATCACATTCAGAGCATCACAGGCCTAGAGGCAGGATCACACTGCCCATATCTAAATATAAACTAAAAAGTAAACCAAATTTTTTTAAAGATTTATTTTTATTATTTTTTTATTGGAAAGGCGGATATACAGATAGGAGAGACAGAGAGGAAGATCTTCCGTCCGATGATTCACTCCCCAAGTGAGCGCAACGGCCGATGCTATGCCGATCCAAAGCCAGGAGCCTCTTCCAGGTCTCCCACGCGGGTGCAGGGTCCCAAAGCTTTGGGCGGTCCTCGACTGCTTTCCCGGGCCACAGGCAGGGAGCTGGAAGGGAAGCGGGGCTGCCGGGATAGAACCGGCACCCATATGGGATCCTGGGCGTGTAAGGCGAGGACCTTAACCACTGCGCCACCGCGCCGGGCCCACCAAATTTTTTAAATTGGGTGTTTTTTGAAAGAGTTTGCATAATACTAGTATACATTTTTCTAGACCGTGTGGTGAATCCCAACGCTGTTTCATTTTCCCCTCAGGTATCCGTGCTGGAAAGCTGTCTGCCATGCATCTCCTGTACTCTGCTCATCTTTGAGACAAAGGATCTGTGTGTTTTGTGGTTGACATTTTTGCCATGGACATTTCTTTAACAGTCAGCTGTGGAATGTAGAGACAAAGCAGGGATTTTGCTCCATTAGCATAAAGATGAAGTCTCCCTGATGGAACACTTACAGCAGGTGTGCTGGTGGCTGCTTGACAATATTGGGACTTCTCTACGTCCGGATTCCATGGTTATGACATCAACTCTGTATGTGTGCTCAGTATCCTCCAGGCTCTCTGAACTACCCACCGCCAACCCTCCAGGACCAGAAGAGAGGTAAGTCAACACAAACCAGGAGCTCCTGCTTCTTGTCATGGTTAATAGGTCCTTTCTCTTTACCCAGCAGTCTCAGATCTTCTTTCAGAATACGAAAACTCTGGCAAGCAGAATAAGTCAGCTTACTAGCAGAGTACATACTATATCTTTTGCAGAGGGAAGTAAGATGCTGATTTGTGTAAAAGCAAAAAGCATCCACAACCAACTTTTGAGCCTTGGACACTTACACACACACACACACATTTGTGAGGCAAAGAGTTGCTTCCAACAGATTTAAAAATAAAACTAAGTCCTCTAGGTAAGAAATAAAATGTTGTGTTTTAAATGTAGCTACCTGCATTATGTTATTCTAATCATTTTTTTCCTATTATCTGAAAAGTTTTCCTAATACAATGAACTATGTTTTTCAAGACATATTTCTTTAAAGGCATGAATTGCATTGCTTTCTTGTTCTTGACATTGAGATCTCTGTGTATGGCTACATAAATAGTTCAATGAAAACTGAATCGATTTTATATAGAATAATTAATGCATAAGAATAATAGCATTCTCCTATGAGAATGATTATTCATGTGCAGTACTGTGTTTCAGGGTAATATTCTGAGTTGGCATGGCAGCTGGTAGGGTTGTTCCTTCAGGGAGTTGTGCTAACAGTTGTGGTCTTTGGATATCACGTTCCCCAGTCTTGTCTCTCAGAGTCTGCATCACTCCTAAGTTTTCCACTAGAGGAAAGACAAAATGGTAAGAGGACTAGGGGCCTGCATCTTCGTGTCTGTACCATACTCCCTGATTGAAAACTGTGCAAAATGCCTTTGCTTCAGTTGGAACTTATGGAGCTTTCTTTGAGTAAAGAACTTAGGGAACAGAGAAGTTCATTTTCAGTTTAAACACAGGAGTATTCTTATTTTTACATTGAACATGCAAGTGTGTATTGTTTCATATTATAAAAAGCTAAACCAAAGTTATTTAAGCTATATTAACAGTTGGCACATTTTTCGGTTATGGTATCTGATGCCGTACATCTAAGTGACTCTAATTACAGCGTTTGTGTTTTGTTGGATATAATTTAAAATGTGATACAGAGACTGTGTCTGTAGTATTCCAGCTGGCGCTTGTCTGAGGAAGAACCTATGATATTGAATTTTAAAACTTCTGAGTCCTAAGCGTAGATACAATCTGTAAAGACTGGAATGATTGACAAATCCATTTCATTGATCTCAAATGGAGAGGTATTGAATAAGTGACACTTGGAAAATGATACAGGTACTTTTCCAAATGCTTTCGCGATATCTTTTAAGGAAAGAGTGCAGATGTAATTACCTACCTCAATTCTGAATACAGGATTCAATTGGCTTCAACAGAAGCAATCACAAGCATGAAGGAAGTTTCTTTAAAACACAACCAAGAAAAGCAGTTACAGAGGACCTGGCACAATAAGCTCATGGCTGGATTCCATACGGATGCCTTTTCATGTCCTGGCTGCTCCACTTCCCATCCAGCTACCTGTGATTGGCCTGGGAAATGAGCAGAGAATGGCCTGGGCCATTGAGGCACTGCACCTCCATGGGAGACCTCAAAGAAGCTCTTGGCTCCTGGCTTCAGATCAGCTTAACACTGGCCATTATGGCCACTTAGGGAGTGAGTGAACCAGCAGACGGAGGCTCTATCTCTCTAAATTTTGCTTTTCTCTTTATAGCTACCATTGCAATAGGAACAACCAAATATTTTTTAGTTAGTTATAAAATAAAATGTTCATAATGCACAAATGGAAAATGAGTGCCCATTTATATGCTTATTGAATTTAAACATTTGACAAGAATCATACAAGGAATGCTCAATTGTATGCTATAATTTCAGATAATGTATAATCATATATTTTAAAATTTAGAATAATTTTGATATTTATAAATTCTGTTTGTCTTCAGAGAACAGCTAAAATATCATGTGACATGCACACACTATATCAAGATAGCAAATGCCGAACAAAAATTTATCAATGACAGGATACATAATAGAAAGTTATAAATGTTAATGTACATTTACTATATTGTATTTAAGAGAGTTCACAATCAAATTGATTACATTGTATTTTAGAGAAGATAAAAGGCAGACAATGTCAATTCTGTGAATCACATTTGCTGTATGGACACAACATCAGTTAACATGGAAAGTACAAATATTCCTAAAATAGACACTTTTACAATGTATCTTCACTGAACCTTCATAGATTTGCAATTATCCACTATTGTATAATTAATGATTGACCCACAATATGGTACTTATCAATGTGATTGTGATAAGCAGGTTTTTTTTCTTAAATTAATTAAGTGTATATAATGCTATCATGTTAAAATATCTTCAGAGAATTTTTGTTTCAGTGATTGGGATAAGAAAGAGGGTGGCTGTAACAAATTACACACACACACACACACACACACATATATATATATATATATTTAAAGATTTCTGTCCAGAGAGGAGGAGAGGTGGAGAGGAGGATCTTCCACCTGTTGATTGACTCCCCAAGCAGCTACAACAGCTGGAACTGAGCCAATCCAAAGCCAAGAGCCAGGAGCCTCTTCTGGGTCTCCGACTCAGATACAGGGTCCCAAGGCATTGGGCTGTCCTCTACTGCTTTCCCAGCCCATAAGCTGAATAGGAAGTGGGGCTGCTGGGATTAGAACTGGCACCCAGCATGTTCAAGCCCAGGACTTTAGCAATTAGGCTACTGAGCCAGGCCCCAACTTACATATTTTAAATACAAAGATCTGAAAGTTTCAAGCGATCTTTCTTAGTCTTTATTCTGTAAACCAGTTTACATGTTGAATTGTGCCTCACTAAAATGCACAACACAGCACAGTATAAATTTATTGCAAAGTAAAGTCGCTGTCAATTTAATTAGTCACTTTAAAATACAATTGAGGTAGATCTCAAGTCACTAGGACCAATCCCCTAATAAAAACATGGAATTTGTAGAGACAGTTGTACAAACACAAAGGAAGATATGCAGATACACTGGGAGAACATTTTGTGGGCAGTTGAAGGGGCTACTTCCAAAAACAAACAAACCCAACCCGAATGCCACCTTGACCTTGGATTTACAGCTTTCAAAACCATAAAACAATGTTCCTGTTTTTGACTAAGTCCAGCTGGTGTTATTTTGTCATGAAGCCTTACACACTAGCACAAATACTTCTCTTTGCCATGCTTTGATAGGATGCATCATCCTCTTAAGATAGGCTTCGGGAAACATTGGGCGTGTGTTGAGTCTTTGGGTGAACGGTGCTTTGCCCTGACCTTCAGCAGCTCTGCTGATTCGCTTCACAAGGACAAACGTTTTTGTTCATATATTCACTGATATAATCTAAGTAACCTGAAGGGTGTTTTTGGCATATGGTTGACACTCAATAAATATTTGTTGCATGAATGGCTGAATCCTCTTATGAGAGTTGAAAGGGCTCACCATTACTTCTCCCTGAGTGCACTGCTGTTCAACCGTATCACAAACAAGGCCAAGGGAGTACTTTCAGCAGATATTAAAGATTTCCTCAGCAAGTAATTCTGAATCCGCTCCATGAGGAGAGACAATAGAGTGAACTTCTAAATTACTGTATGAAAGAGAGTCCCAGGATTGTTTTGTGATGTTTTTACTTATACTTATCAATAATCTTTAGATTCATGTAAAATGGAATATTGAGAAATTGGTCCATAATGGAAGGCAGATTTGGACAGTTTCTGCAAGTATTTAAAACAAGATTAATTATTTAAAAGATGACCAAATTAATTATTTAAAAGATGACTGCTCGGTAGTTATCAGTAGATTTATGCAAAATTTCATACAAGAGGTACACATAGAATCAACCAAACTATTGCTACTTCATTCCAAAAGGAAAAATAAAAACACTTCATTTTGGCTCAATCACTAAGCACAAAACAGAAAAGACATCCATATGTTTCATTTCAAAAACTGGTTTATAATAAAGATATTAATAACAGTGATTAATTTAACTCTATTAAAAAACCATAAGATGATTCCACTGTGTTTTTCTGGTTCATTTTTATTTCAAATCACTGTTCTGCTTTAAAGTTCATACAGCAAGTAGCTTATAAATGAAATCCAGGTCTATTCATGGTGCGATCATATGAACCAGAAGCACCGGATTACAGATCACTACATACAACACTTGAATCTTGGGAATTCCCGAGTTCCTTTACTTACGGAATACCTGTAATGTACCTTGCTCCAATTAACATGACCATACTACTCACTATGAAAAAACTCAAGGACAAACTAGCAAAAATACTGGAGTCACCGCTTTCTGGAGAATCTGTTGTAGCCCAATCCTTAGATTTCATCACCGCCTTCTTCCACATGGTATAACGACTTTCACTGTCCGCCGCGTTGACCTGTGGTTCAAACCTCTCTGTCATAACGACAGATACATCTTTAGGTGGAAGACTCCAAACCCCAACGCCCTCAGCAGCCCCCGCAGCCATGGCAGCTCCCAGTGCAGTTGTTTCAGCCAGGGAGGGTTTGATTACCGGAATGGACAGGATGTCTGCTTGGAGCTGCATCAGAATTTTGTTGTTGGTCATGCCTCCATCCACCTGTAAGTGACTCAGAGGAATTCCACAGTCGCGGTTCATAGCATCCAAAATCTCTCTGGTTTGGAAACAAACAGCTTCTAATGCAGCAAAAGCAATATGACGTTTGTCCGTGAGCTGAGTGAGTCCACAGATTATCCCTCTTGCACTAGGCTCCCAATAAGGTGCATATAACCCTGAAAATGCTGGGATAAAATAGCAGCCATGAGAAGTGCCTACTTCCTTAGCGAGTTGTTCAATTTCTTCTACTTGCTTAATTATTCCAAGATTGTCTCTTAGCCATCGAATGAGAGCACCAGCTATTGCTACAGATCCTTCTAGTGCATAACACACTGGCTTGTCTCGGCCAAGCTTGTAAGCGACTGTCGTCAGAAGGCCATGTTCAGAAAATACACACTTGGGACCTGTGTTACATAGTAAGAAACATCCTGTCCCATAAGTGTTTTTAGCCTCACCATCCTGGAAGCATGTTTGCCCCACCAAAGCAGCAGACTGGTCACCCAAACAACCAGATATTGGCACACCCTCTAAGGTTCCAGCTTTCATGAGGCCATAGATCTCGGAAGAACTCCGGATTGCTGGGAGAATCTGCATCGGAATTTCGAAGAATTCACAGAGCTCGTCATCCCACTGCAAAGAATGGATGTTGAAAAGCATCGTCCTGCTGGCGTTTGTGACATCTGTGCAGTGGACACCTCCGTGGATGCCCCCCGTCAGGCTCCAGATAAGCCACGAATCAATGGTGCCAAAAAGAGCTCTTTTTTCTTCAACAGCCTCCTGAACCTTCCTCACATTGTCCAGAAGCCATCTTAGCTTCACCGCGCTGAAGTAAGTACTCAACGGAAGGCCTGTCTTGGACTTAACGAACTTATTATTTCCAGGAGCACTTTTACTAAGGTTCTCAACAATGGACTGGGTTCTTAGATCAAGCCATACCACGGCGTTGTAGAGTGGTTCTCCAGTGACCTTGTCCCAGACCACAGTGGTTTCCCTCTGGTTGCTGACACCGATAGCCTTTATGCTAGAAACATCGATGTTGAGCTGGCCGAGCTTCTCACACGTTTTCTCTATACACTCGTACACGGACTGTAGAATTTCTTTGGGGTCTTGTTCCACCCATCCTTCTCTTGGAAATTCTTGCTTGATTTCTACCTGGTGATGACTTAGTAGTTCTGCCGTTTTTGAATTAAAAACCAGAAAACGTGTCGAGCTGGTACCCTGGTCTACTGCCCCCACCAGTGGCCCCAAAACTCTTTTCTTGGTGGCTGCCATGAAATCTGGTCAGGTTGGCGGAGATCGGCACTGGTTTCCAGGGTGACAGCGTCGGACAGGGGAGGGGCCAACACGGGAGGGACGTTCTGAGCGTTGGGGGAGGGCGGCAGGTGCCTTGGCCCAACTGAAATACGTTAATTTAAAGTGCAGGTTTGAGGCTGTGCTGCTTGTGTGTCCCATTAAACTCTTACACATGTTCACTCTCTGGAAAACTTCAAAGCTGTATATATGTAAACAGCAGTACATGTTACTGTCAGCTCTCCTATAATCGTTAGATGTTAAAGTATTTAATTTGAATACATTTTTTAAAACAAAACCTTGGCTCATTCCAAAGTTCTGTCCCTGAAATGTCCATCACTTTCTTGCTAATCAAGTTAAAGGATGAGAACATTAACTTTGGATAGTACATATCTGTTCGTAGTCACTTTTTTTTTAAAGATACCTTCAAAAGGTATCTTCTGTGGGCCCAGTGCGGTGGTCTAGTAGCTGAAGTCTTACCCTTGAACACATCAGGGTCCAATATGGGCACCGGTTCTGATCCCAGCAGCCCAACCTCCCATCCAGCTCCCTGCCTGTGACCTGGGAAAGCAGTAGAGGACAGCCCAACGCCTTGGGACCCTGAACCCAAGAGGGAGGACTGGGAGAACCTTCTGGCTCCTGGCTTTGGATGGGCTCAGCTCTGACTGATGCAGCCACTTGGGGAGTGAATCAGTGCAAGGAAGATCTTCTCTCTGTCTCTCCTGCTCTCTCTGTATATCTGACTTTGCAACAAAAATAAATAAACCTAAAAAAAAAAAGATATCTTCCAAAGCAAAAATGTCTGCATTTCCTGGAAAGAATTTTTATTGGTGTCTGGTAGCCATGACCAATGTGGGATGAAAAACTGGAAGATTTTTCTTGTAAAATTTGGAATTGTCATAGTGCTCTAGCCCATTGTTGCTAGAAAGAACACTGTTATGATAAAATCAGTGAGAGTGACATAGGATTCCTGCCACATCACAGGGTCACTTAGAGCCAAAAATGCCCACATATCACTGTTCTCAAAGATACAGATGGGATAGTAGAAGCAAAGGAAGAAGTGGAAGAAAGGCTTTATCAAAGTCCTTCCCTATCAGAAGCATCACATACTTATTTTTTTCTGCGGGCTAATTTGTTGCTCTTTTTCTAATGGGAGCATTTTGCCTTCAACACTTCCTAAACATTTTTACTTTTACTTTGAAAAAAAAAAAACCTGTTTCTGCACATTGATTCATAGCCATCATGTCTACTCTACGATGTATTTTCTTGGCCCTTTCTTCCAAAATATATTAAATTTTATAATATTGTTCAAGGATGCTTCCGAAAGTTATGAAAAATAGAACTTGATTCCCAATTTCCATGTACATTTTGAAACTCTGACATAACCCCTGATTGTTACTTAAGATAACTGCTTTATATCTTAGCAGTGCCATTCGCTGACTAAATTCCTGGTGTTCTCAGAAACAACATATCTCTTATAATTGTGCAAAATAATTCCCAAATGTCATGTACATGATCTCTATGTCATGCCATCTTGTTGTGGTGACATATGTTAGACGGTTCACACGTGTATGTGACGTGAAAGCACGCAGTTGTACACAGGCACAGAAAGTGAAATAGCTTGATATATACACGGTGATGAGTGTGAAAAAGACACTGTTTCTTGGCTTCATGCCTGTGGCTTTATCATCACTAGGTTTTAGAGTCTCATTATTTTCTAACAGAAATGTGTGTGATAATATTCCCTTGGGTCTCAAAGAAAATTAAGCAAATAATTTCTTTAAAATTACTTTTTCCACATATATATACGGTACTTTGAAACATCTTTGGTATAGCAAAAAGACAAGTTTCTAGTTCTCGAAAAGAACATGCTTGAGTTTTTAAGTAATCACAGTAATGTTATGATCATACCAACTCATGGAATTATGACGACAAATAGAAAGCTCAACTACAATCCTTCTGTTATTAACTGTGACTCAGAATGTGCAGATTGAGACCGGAAATGTCATCCACACAAGTCTTCAAAGGAAGGAATTTCAAATCTGTCGAATATTCAGTCTATACCATTTATAAGCTAACAAAGTTCTATCATATCACAGAAGTAGCAGAGGACTCCAGATAGCTGCAGGCAAGACTAAGATGTTTATGTAAAACCATTTACTTCTCTATTTGAAAGATAATTTTACGGAGAGTAGGAGAGATAAGGAGAACTTCAACCAGCTGATTCACTCTCCAAACAGCTGTCTTGGCCAAAATGGAGAATGCCAAAGCCGGGGGCCTGGAACTTCATTCAGCTCTCCTCTGCAGGTGACAGGAGCCAGGTCCTCATGCCATCGACTGCTGCCTTCCTAAACAAACTAGCAGGGAGCTGGAATGGAAGTGGAGCAGCCTGGATTTGAACTGGTACTCACATGGAGTGCCAGTATTGCAACTAGTAGCTTAACTTGCTTTGCTGCAGCCCAGAAATTTATCATTCAAGCTGGCACAAGTTCCATGTTCATGGCACTGCACCTCACCCCTGGGTCCAGCCTCCTTAGAGACAACATGTGACACCCCAATCTGTTAGTATAGGTACAGTGGGGTTGGGTGAAGATGAGGGACCCAAACTTTAGGAAGCCACAGTTGTAGGGATGAAGAAAATTGCCTGCCCATCATCTTTCTGGAAGGATTATCATCTTTGTTGTCTCTTAAGGAAACAAGAACCTGTGGTCTGTCCCCAAGAGAGACACCAGATCTTTGTCCCAAGGCAACTTCCCATATGAATATCCCGGAAATAAAGTCAGAGCAAATCTGTCAAAACCTCATCCGCAGAAGCCAAACTGCAAGGAAGCCATTGAAAAATCACCTGGGCCCTATACGGTTACCTAGCAGCTAAAGTCCTGGCCTTGAACACTCAGGGAACCCAGATGAGCGCAGGTTCTAATCCCTGCAGCCCTGCCTCCCATCCAGCTCCCTGTTTGTAGTCTGGGAAGGCAGTGGAGAATGGCCCGAAGCCTTGGGACCCCGCACCCTTGTGGGAGACCTGGAGGAATTTCCTGGATCCTGCTTTCGGATCAGCACAGCACCAGCTGTTGCAGTCACTTGGGGAGTGAATCATTAGCAGGAAGATCTTCCTCTCTGAGTCTCCTCCTCTCGGCATATCTGACTTCGCAATTAGAAGAAGAAGAAGCAGGAGGAGGAGAAGGAGGAGAATGAGGAGAATGAGGAGAAGAAGAAGGGAAAAGTCTCCTAAGGGCAGTCTATGGTACATCTTTGCTTTCAATAACAATATTTGCTTTTTCTCAATTTTATTTATTTTTATTGGAAAATCAGATACATAAAGAGGAGGAGAGACAGAAAGGAAGATCTTCCTTTCACTAATTCATTCCCCAAGTGGCTGCAACAGCCAGAGCTGAGCCAATCCAAAGCCAGGAGCCAGGAACTTCTTCCGGGTCTCTCATGGAGGTACAGGGTCCCAAAACGTTGGGCTGTCCTAGACTGCTTTCCCAGGCTACAAGCAGGGAGCTGGATGGGAAGTGGGTGCTGCCAGGGAATGAACTAGCATCCATATGGTATCCCAGTACATTCAAGGCGAGGACTTTAAATGGTAGGTTATTGCACTGAGCCCACAAAGACAGTTTTTAGCTCAACTCTGAAGTGTGACTTCCCTGCAAAGCATTAAAAAGCTTCTAAAAGAACTTTTAGGGAGCTAAAATTTTGACATTTCTTTCTGTTTACCAATCACAAACAGAACATTGTGTGAGGATTGAATGACCGGAGAGTCAAGAAATAATCGCATTATTCACGACAAAGGGTGACATTTATTTGTAATTTCTAAATGAAATGAGATTCACCAATCTTCTTGAACTACCTTTTCATCTTGAAATGCGATTCCATCATCTTCGACATTTCACCTCTCAGGGAAGAATAAAAACAACCTAAATGAATGGCTATGACTTGGTAAAATCTGATAGTAAGTGCCAGATAATGTGAATTTTACATTTTCCAAGAAGCCTTGACGGCTTACTAAGAGTAGTATGGACATATGTAGAACATAAGTGATTAATCTATATTAAAATATAAATCGCTGACGAAGCATGTCACCAGCTAGTTTAATATTGCTAATTGCCCATTCCAAGGCGTGATCCAGGTACTAGAATTTCCCTGACATTTTCCTCAGGCAAGGTAATTTAGGAAAATCTATTTAGTCTTTTTGTCAATTTCCCTTTTATGTTAAAGATCCTCATTTACACCCTCTTTATATTTCAATCCCACTGGCCCCCAAGCTGGCTTGCTGCTTTTAATAGAATGTTAGCACCTATGTCATGGTTACTTATTTTTATTCTGTCTGACTTCTACTCTTCATTCTGTAAGAAGGAAGACATCAAAACAAGGTTATCAAAGAACAAATCTCTGAGATGAGTTCAGGGTTCAGTTCTGGGTGCAATTCCAATTTTGTTCTCTATGATTTGAGGAACGACAACCTGGAAAGCAAATAGGCATTGCTTAGCTGGCTCCCTCAGTGTTAAGACTTTGAAGTGAGTATGGAGTGGTAGGTAGCTCAGCAACTAAATCCTTGCTTTGCATGCACCAGGATCCCATATGGGAGCTGGTTTGTTTCCCTGTGGCCTGTTTCCTATTCAGCTCCCTGCTTGTGGCCTGGCAAAACAGTTGAGGATGGCCCAAAGCTTTGGAACCCTGCACCTGCGTGGAAAACCTGGAAGAGGTTCCAGGATCCTGGCTTCAGATCGGCTCAGCTCCCGCAGTTGCAGCCTCTTGGGGATTAAGTCATCAAACAGAAGATCTTCCTTTCTGTCTCTCCTCCTCTCTGTATATCTGGAATAAAAATAATAAATCTTTTTTTTAAAAAAAAGACTTTGAAGTGTTGGTAGAGTATGTGAACACATTGGTAAATGCATTGTGGTGTTGCTATAGGGGTCCTTTAGGTAAGCCACTGCTTGCAATTCCAGTATCTGATGTGGGAGCAGTGGTTCAGGTCCTGG